TCAACTTTCAGGGATTCAAGCTGCTCCTTCATGATCATGGCATCACCAAATTTAAATATTTCATCAAACCTAAAAGAAAAATATAAAAACTAATTATAAGTAGTTGTAAGCAAGATAAGAAAAACTAAAATTAATATAGATATGTAGGAAAAGTTACTTAGTTTCCTCAACATCTTCAACAATCCAATCGAAAACAACAGTTGGCTCTAAATTAGCAACCAAAATTGTATCCTTCTCAGTGACCCTCACACTCGATTTTGACCTTTGGTAGTTTCTTTTCACAGGTCTTTCTTCTTTTCTTTTATTTTCTTCTTCAACAAACTGAACTTTCTTTTTTCGTTTCAACAATTTTCTTCCTTGATCATCCATGGCTACCACAGACTGCAACCAAATACAACCAAATACATAACTTATTGATTAAAATAAAATTGCAGTACATAAAAATACAAAATAGAATAAATAGAAACAACATTTTCACCTTCTCTAACTCCTTCTCTTTCTCTTTCACTATCACAATCTCCTCATTCAATTTCTCGCTTACAATCTCCATCTCAACAGCTGGTTCCTAAACATTATCAACAGCTTCTTCTTGAACACAATCATGCTGCACAGCAACTGTTGATTTAACAGGAACATCAGAAATTGGGACTTCAACAGACACCTCAACAAATGGTTCGTCAGCAGAAACTTTTGAAAAAAAATTCATCCAAAATTGGCTCTTCGACAGACACTTTCAAAGGGGCTTTATCAGAAGTTGGCGCTCCACCCGAAACATGAGCCTCAGCAGCTGATTCCTCAACAGACACTTCCACACCAACATTAGGAATTGTGCTTCCACCTTGAATATCATCAACATTTGGATCTTTGGAAAATTGCTTAGAAATATTAAAAACATCCTCCCAACTCCTGTCACTTTCTTGGGACAACCCCATTCCCAAAGAAAAACTTGGAATATCAGCCTTTGTCTTCTCATATTGAGCTCTCTTTTCAATGGCACGCTCAACCTTCTCGATTACTGCAATAGTTTCTGGATTATTCCAGAAAGCATTCATTTCCCCACTATCTTCATAATCAACTGTAGAAGGTCTTTTCGAAGATTCAGGATTGTCAAGATTGGAAGAAGTGAGATTCTTGGTTGCTTCATTAATTTTCATGTAATCCCCATCATTTGCCACCTCCTCAGGTGCATCTTGAAGCAACGAAATCACATCAACAACATCAGTGGCCAAACAGGCAACTTTGCTAAGAAGTTTTGATCTGTACACCTGTTAAATAGACAAGATATAAAAAATGGACAATTATAAGCACATAAGCATTCAAAATTAACTAAATATGCATCACAATAGGTGTACATATACAACACATAAGAACTAAACATCCACAACAGATGAACTAAGCATTAACCATAACTAATATGCAACTTTTATTAACTACATATGCAACTGATATCAACTAAATATGCAACTCCCAACAACTAAATATGCAACTCGTATCAACTAAATATGCAACTCATATCAACTAATAATGAAACTCATATGAACTACATATGCAACTCCTATCAACTACTTATGCAACTCATATCAACTACATATGCAACAGAAAACAAAAAAAGGAATAACAAACCTGTACAGTATCATCACAAACATCCTTTAATTCAGGTCTCTTGAACTGCAAAGGCGAAATCTCCTTCGGTTCATCAACAAATCCCCGACCAACTCAAATACAGCTGACAAATCAGAAATAGACTTGAAAAAAAGAGGATTCACATATCCACACTGGTTTGTACCCACAATCAGACAATCCACAAGAGCAAGAAAATGTAACTTGAACCACTCATCTCCATTAACACACTCCATCATTTTTTTGCATAAAATGTCAGGGGTAATTTTCTTCTCAACAAATTGACCCCTCCATCTATCCAACAAATCACACTCCTCAGATTTTTTTTTCTTCTCAATAGGCTTATCACCATTGGGAAAGCCTAGAACACGCAGAACATCCACAGACGACACATGAATACCTCTACCTTTCCCAAGATCAAGATGGCAACTAAAAGGATCAAAATTTGACAACAACCAGTGCACCAACTGAGTCGGAAATTCCTTGATTTGGAGATGAAACAGACATCCAAAACCCATCTGCTCAACAGCTATTCGCTGTTGTTGGTTAAAAGATTTGATAGCATCCACTAGGATCTTCGGAGAAGACCGAGTTATCACTTTTGGGAAGGGATTATTAGCATCCGCCTGACCTTCTTTGCCATCAGTAAGCAAGAGAATATCGTCAACATCTTGGTTTATTCTTTTACGATTAGTACTCTTAACGCGAGGCATACTTCAAGAATATCGGTCTTACAATAACACAAAAATGAAATAAATTAAAACCAACTAAATATGAAACTCATATAAACTAGATATGCAAACTCAACCAACTAAATATGCAACTAATAAGAACTAAATATGCAACCACAACCAACTAAAATCGCAACATTGTAGATATGGACATGTCAAGCACTAATATATTCACTATCTAGCGTTATACAAGCACTGATACAACAACAAGTAAATATGAACATATAAAGCAACATTTGATAACTAATTAAGCAAAAACATAAACTATATATGCATACTTTATTCATTGTACAAGCTCTAATACAGAGACGAGAAAAAACGAAATGTTATCAACAGTTCTAGTATAAAAACAACTACATATGCATAAAAAATATACTATCTATGCAATTATCATAAACTAAAATAGCATAAACTACCAATAAAAACGAACAATGTATTCTTCGAAACAGATTTAGCACAAAAACAACGTCGTTGCATGACTATTATATTATCTATGCACCAGTCATAAACTAAAATAGCAACAAATA